TCAAGTTTTCGACGGATTTTTACGTTTTGGGGTCCCCTAAATCTGATAGCGATGATGTATGTGTGTCTGTATTTGTGTCTGTATATATGTATCTACGATAACTAAATTTTAAGCTTAGGCTTTATTCTATTCTCTAATGAGTTGATTAGATTTTGGGCATCTATGGGGTTCTTTATAGGGGGTCGAATTTTAACTTTTAGAGCAGATCGAACACCTTGAAAATTTATATTTTATTCGGAGCCTTTATTTTTAGTCCGATTTTTGTGAAATTTTCAAGAAATACAAACAATAAGAAAACTTAGGGTGGAGAAACCTTGAATTTTGATGTAAACCTTCGAAAAATATTTATTTTGAATGTCTTTAAAAGAAATTTCAAAAAAACATTTCCGCGCCATTCTGTATTAAATCTATAAACATTTGCTGTCTTTTGTTTTAATAAATATCTAGTAGTTTTTTAATAAGATGAGTTCCCACCTTTTTTCTTAAACGTCTGTCTAGAGTGCTGCCTTATCGTTGCACAAATTTAAAGCTCTCAATATTCTCAAAAATATATAACGAAGTATTCCCAGTGGTAAGCACATAAATACAATGTTATATTAGAAAATCCTTAAAACATTTTTGCTTTCGCGAGAGGTCCGGTTTCCTCTTAATGAATATATCTGTTATTTAGGCTTGCAGAAATGAAAGTTACTTCTGAAGTCATTATCTATAATATACATGATTTTCCAAAAATGGTCCGTATTCGAGAAATTTGAAAAAAAGTTCAAAATTCGAATTTTAAAGAAAATTATTCAAATAAAACATGCTTTCGAATATTTTAAAAATTATCCCGACATCATTCTCTATAATTTTAGCTCTATGAATAAAAGACCGTAATTGAGAAATTTGAGGAAAAATGTAAAATTTTAATTTTTCGTTGTAAAGAAGTTCCAAATATTTAGAGGGTGGTTGTCGAAGTTATTTTGTTAAAAAAGTTCATATAAAACGTAGGTCAAAATATGCTTCGATTCCGAGATACAGAGTGTTTAAATTTAAATTTTTTATTTTTATTATTTCAAAGAGTTTGAAAGATATTGACTCGAAATTTGCAAAACCCATTGGAGGGATAAATGTGTATTTTTTAAGGTGATCCGATTATTTCTATTTGCACCAGTGGCGTTCGTGTGAGAATGCTACAACTTTTTATTTAATAAAAAAACGCCACAGACTTTTTTCCATTTTGATATTTAACAAAATAACTTCGGCAACCACCCCCTAAAATCTTTCTCACTTATTTACAAACGCCATGTATATAAAAAATTTTTCGAGTAAGATGTGTAGAAAATGTATGTATTTAGTTCATTATCTAAACATTTACGGGCGTGATACAATAGGTTGTACAGAATAACCAGTAAAAGCCTATAATAACATCATATTTTTTCTGTCATCGTGGCTGTCGTTGCCAAGCGAGGCATATTCCAATTTAGGACGAACTAAATAAACCGAAGTATAAATATTTTTATTGTTTTTATATTTGTAAATCCACATAAATTTCTTATGACGAATCCCATCATCCTGTTTGCCCTTTTACAGTCTCAACCCCAATTATTCGCAAAATTTTAGGCCCTTTTTAAAAAGTTGATTTATTCATTCGATCACAAAGGAGCAAAAGATGGACAGGGTAATTTGCCGGTTAAAATATTGAGTGACTTTAACAATGGAACCATATTATTAAATTATTTTGTTACGGATGATAAAATTTTACTCTACTTATTATGGTGTTTCATCGAAGTGGAACAGCTAAGGTTGTCTATTCGAAAATAAAGATACGTCAAGCCAAAAGAGGAGCGTAAATCTCGACTGATTTAAAAATTCTTAGTAGGTTTGTTCCGGTTTCTTTAAAACTCCATGCAAACCGTCCGAGAACCAGTGGAACAATTGAATTCCAAATTATTCGTCGCATACAACTATTAAACTGTCCACTGGTCAACTAGTCCTCTGATAGTTCTCAATATATTTTTGAAGAACCCGAACAGACCTATTATTTTTAAAAGTTAAGGGTATTCTAGCCCGAATTGTTTTACATTAAAATTAAGATAAACAGCCACTTAGTTGGAAAAAATTGTGTTTCCCCAAGATAAGATTACTGGTACCTACATCGATTGTTGAAAACACTAAAATTGGTAATAGTTGATTCCTCTATCAAGATAAGCCCTATAGAACATTGTTGGATCTAGTATTCATTGTTAAATAGTGGAATAGTCCCAGAAAAATAAAATTTGTTTATATCGATTTTTAGATCTTATCAGACATCGTTTATGTCATTTATGTGATATATAAATAAACATATTTTATTATGGCGCTTTAGTATTTTTGTTAAATAAATGCAGGAGAGATGTTTTTTTTCTAATCTACGGATTTAATCAATTATGTAGTTATATCTTTGTTATTATGTAAATAATTCAATTCTCTAATATATAAATGTAAAATTATTAATATAATATTGAAAACGCTTTTATTTTGAACCAATGAGAGGTATCGAACTCAAGGGCTCGAATTTTAAAAGTGAGTCAATGCTTATTTATAGACTACTTTTTCTCTTGAAAGTATGTTAATCACTGCACCTTAACTGCACAATGTAAATAATAAAATGCATTAGCAAAGTTGATTTAGATGATTGGTGTCGATGCCGACTGTATAATTCTTATTGTTATTCGATTGTATGTACCTACCGCTCAAATACTGGGTGCTTGATTACTAAGGATCGATTTGTTAGCGAATAGTAGTTTGTGTTTGTGCAACACGAGTGGATATGATGGTCATATGGCAAAAAACAAGCAAAAAATAAGCAAAAAAATAAGCAAAAAACAAGCAAAGAAACAAGCATAAAAAAACAAGCATAAAAAACAGGCAAAAAACAAGCAAAAAACAAGCAAAAAAACAAGCAGAAGACCAGAAAAAAAGCAAAAACAAAAAAAAGCAAAAAAAACATGAGCTGGAAAAATCTATTATAGGACTAGTAGTTTGTGCAGCAAGTGCGCAAATCGATATTTTTCTCACAAATCAAGCCAGTGGGAAAAGTATTTTGCGCACATGTTGCACACTATTTTCTTTCTACGCTTTTTAGAGAATCCAAAATGTGTGTATAATAATATGATATATTTAGGCAAATATATTTTCTTTAAAAATTATAAAATTCTGCACCAACAGTAAATGTTCATGGTCTTTTGGTTTTTGTTGTTAGAATGTGAGCCACAAAATACGAATGTAAATCTTCCAAATCATCAACCTTTAATTTCCAGAGTTCATCTCTGCGACATGCACCCGTCAAACCAAAGGCTAAAACAACCTGCAACAAGTAAATTTTGTGGTTAGTGGCATATTTTTAGCGTACCAATAAAAAAAAAACCCGCACGTTAGACAAACACGTAAGTGCAAAGTAGTTACTTTGTACACGCTTATGTGATTTGCACGCTTATGCAATGCTTCGTAGAAAAAGACCCCTTTGGTGTAAGTGTCACTTCATTTCATCTGCAACAGTAGAACTTCAAACTCCTTAAGAGTTGCTAGATACGTTTGGTTAAACCAAGAAATCAGCACTCATCATCATCAATGTTAAATTTAAATCTTATATTTTCTTATCAATGGTTTCCTCAATAACATAGACTGTAGAGGATACGGGAAAGGATGTTCATCATAATCTTTCAAAAAAAATCTGATGTGTCCAACACATGACTTTCCTATCTAGTTATTACAGGCTTTTTCCGTTTATTGTGTACAACCTATTGCAGCATCTCTATAAATGTTTAGAGGATAAACTAAATATATACATTGTCCACATACATCTACCGCGAAACATTTTTCTATAGATATTCATTGAAAATGAAAGTACTGAAAAATTTAAATTTAGCACTTTTCCTACAATTTTTCCATTACGGTCCATTTAAAAAAAATCATGTATGAACAAATATTATAGAGATCGATATCGCAAACAACTTTTATTTCAACAATTTTCATAAAAATCAGAATTTTGCACATTTTGTCAAATTTCTCGAATACGGACCATTTCAGGAAATTTTTACATAAGGCAAAAATTATAGATAATAATATTAGAAGTAACTTTTATTTGAACAATTTTCTTCTCCAAACATAAATAACAGATATATTCCATAAAATATATAAACGGCCTCCCATAAAGTACCCCCCCAGATGTTCCGACTTTGTCCAAAATCTAATCATTTCACGTCAGGCCGAAATAAAACTTAAGTTTAAAATTTATTGATTTTTTCTTTATCCGTTTTTGAGTTTTCTTCAAATTTCGAAATTTACACATTTTCTCAAATATCTCGGTCCATTTTAGAGAAATTATTTATGGGACAAAAATTATAGAGAATTATATTACAAACAACTTTTGTTTGAACAATTTTTATAAAAAAAAATATTTTTTTACATTTTGTCAAATTTCTCGAATACGGACCATTTTAGGAAAATTTTGTAAATAACAAAAATTATAGATAATAAAATAAGAAGTAACTTTTATTTAAAAAATTTTCTTCCCCAAACGTAAATAACAGATATATTCCATAAAATATAAAAATGACCACCTATAAAGTACCCCCCCAGATGTTCCGACTCTGCCCAAAATCTAATCAGCTCATTAGACGCTGGAATAAAGCTTAAGTTTGAAATTTGGTGTTTTTCCGTGTATAGGTTCATGAGTTATGCGTTATACAGACACACACACAGACACACACACACACACACACAGACAGACAGACAGACATCATCGCGAAAATAGTCAAAACGGATTCAGGGGACCTCAAAACGTAAAAATCCGTCGAAAACTCGAGGTCGAAAAAAATCATGATTCCTATACTTTCCTTATATCTGTATACAGATAGGAAAGTAAAAAAAGAGAGGGACGTCATTTTCAAATTTATTTATTTACTTTTGAAGAGTTATTTTAAATTTATGGTATTTATTAAAAATAATAAAATTATCATTCTTTAATAATAAGATGACCTAAGTTAAACTTTTATACAGGGTGTCCCAATGAAAAGTAGCCTGTTTTCATTTCATAAAATTTGGTTACTGCAAATTTAAAAGAGGAGATTTTAAAAAACATAATTTCTGTGTCACTGAAGCAAAACTTATAGCAAAATAACACATATCATCAAAAACCGCACGTTTCTACGATTTGTTTAAAAATTATAAGCTCTGGAAATGGTCTACTTTTCATTGGGACATCCTGTATTTAATTTGGCTGAAAATTAGATTTTTAAATACTATTCGAAAATATACATACGATTTTTATACACATGGATACCCCGACCTTAAAGAGCAGGCAATTTTTAAAAGCTCTAAACCTCAATTTTTTGCTATTAAATTAAAAATAATACTGCAAATATATTCATTTATTTATATTACTTAACAATAATCTTGGGCCTACCGAAATATCTGTATACAATAGTTATTACATTACCAATAATTTTACATCTTTAAATAAAGTACACAAACTTTATTCAACTTCAACAGTTGGATCAGGTCCCATGTACGGTTTAATATCAGTCCAATAAAATGATGGACTATTAATTTCTTGTAGAAGAAAAACATCTTTCAATACGGAACCCAAATTAGCGTAATAACTACAAATTCTGGGACCCACATAGGGGATTTCAGTATTATAGGGTGGAGCCAAAATATCTAAGAAAGCAGCAGGTCCATCTACGCTTCGAATTTCGTGTATGTTGCTTTCATGCGGCTTTAAAATACACGGTTTGCTATTTATATCGACGATATTTCTACCATCAAATTCTGCAGAAATTACTCTTCTTAGTGGAATTACATTTTGGTTGGGGATTTGAGCAAAATCAACATTAGGAGTAGAAGTTGTTGACGTACTAGCATCTACAGTTGGAGAACTAATTTGTAGAGAAACGTCTACCATGTTTGAAGCTTCTTCAACGTCTTGGTTCAAAGTACTTGTACTTGTTGATACATCTGCAGTAGCCGGACCATCTGTTTGTACTGTGTCTTTTACTCTCTCTATCTCTTGGGTAATGGCTAATTGTATTTCAGCTTCAAAAGTTTTAGGTGTATTTAGAGAATAACTGTCTACGATGACTTTACCTGCTAAAACCTTTATCACTCCGTACATTTCTGGGTGGTTATGCAAAGGTACAACTTTATTAGATTTTAAAACAAAAATGCTCATTGATAAAATATTATCCTCATAGATGGTTATATAAGATATAGGAGCATCGTATTGGGTTTCTGAGTCTTGAAAGGCAAATGATATGTCTAGGTTTAAGTCCGATGATGTTACTACATCCATAAGATTGTAGAGTTTGAACAAATTTTCATTAAAAACTTCTGTGTTGTTCGAGAAAGTTGTTCTAGCTTGTTTAAGAATCTTTTGTATTAAACTGGCCATCAGATCCGATTTTTAAAATGAAAAAGCAAAAATGATTATTGCTTTAAATATTTAGTATGTAATATACTAAAAGTGTTAATGCAAATATTTTTTTTTTGTTTGGAAACTGCCATTAAATGTTAATGTTTATATGACATCTGTCAAGATTTACGTCCGTTCCTTTTTTTTGTATACTTTTACCACAGTTTATAGCTAAAGAATCAGTTCGCTCACTCTGCGTCGGCACTTTTGATCTCAATGTTCCAGTTTATACACTGCGCAACTTGGATTTGTATCCCTGGCGCATACAGAATCAAATTATAACCAATACAATTAATGACAACCGCCTATAATCAAACAGCAGTCTTCTGCACATCCTGAAATTGTATCCCTGGAGTGGATGTTATTTTGGAACATTCAACTGGTCCAAGTGAGCTAACTGATTCTTTAGCAATAAACTGTGCTTTTACTATGAAGCACTTTTACAGAACATCAACTAAGGAGAACTATCAAAAAAAGAGTCCCTTAAAATGTATAAAATTAAGGTGGTTATGATTGACAACCTGTGTTATTTTTAACAGGTCTGTTATTTTATAAACACACAGAAAGTACAACCTGTTCACAAATAACGTGTGTGTTAAAAATAACATTACTTGTCCATCATAACCCCGTAAGATGGCGTTACTGTGCCAGACGGACTCCGAAAGTTATGTTAATCGATCATTCAGATCACACAATTACACCATTGATGTCTACAATTATATAAATAGTTCACCCATAAATAAATAAATAAAAGGGTACAAATGCTCGAAGAGTATAGCCTAAAAATTCTTCCATTTTAGGATCATCCAACATCTCATACTTGGTTCTAATATTTTTGTGTATACTTTAAATACCGTTAACATTTTGTTTCTTCTTTTTGCATATAGGTAGAATTATATTTTTCCCAATCCCAGTGGTATTTTTCTAGATCTCCATGTTTCCTGTAGCAGTTTTAGCAGCCATTTTTTACTCTCCTAAATATTTTATTATTTCAGGTGATGTAATCAAACTTATAGCATATGCTCTAAGTAATCAAATATTGATTATGGTTCACAGTTCACATACTTTAATCAAAGTATGTGTTATGGTTAGATTCAAAAGGTTAGATTCTACTGTACGTGTATCTACATGCTACCTTGTTTTCTTCGATTATAATTTGATTAATAATCAAGAAAGTAGTTGCCTTTTTGTTTGGTTGCGTCAGTTATTTAAATTTTCGTATGTGACACATTTCTCCGAATAGTGATACTTTCCTATTTTACAAAATTATTTAGCTGTTTTGATGTCCAAATTATAAATTAAAAGTAGAAAACATGGCCACTCAAATACAAAAAGTCTTACAACAAGCAATAATTACATTCAGAAGTGATCCGCAAACATTTATGGGTAATATGAACCAACTGTCCGCCTTAATAGACCAGATAACCTGTGAAGATATAAACCTAGATATTTCTTTCGCCAGGAATGTACCCGATTGTGATCAACCTGACGTCGCCCCTATGACGTACATCCATATATATCAAGATGGTGTCTTATCGATGGGAGTTTTCGTATTAAAAGCGAACAAAATTTTACCCTTGCATAATCACCCTGACATGTATGGTTTAATCAAAGTTCTTTCCGGTAAGATAAGAGTAGAAAGTTACTCTCTAAACACTCCGAAGACCCGTAATATCGATAGTAAAAACTATCATGCCATGAGCTCTCCCGATGGTGTGTCACCAAGGAACATAGTTCCAGCTGAGTTCATTAGCAGCGAGGTATGTGACTCTTTTACTAAACCTAGCTTATTGGAACCCCATAACAGGAACATCCATGAGATCTATACCGTAGAAGGACCTGCAGCATTTCTCCACATCTTAGCCCCCCCTTATAACTCTGAAGTTGCTGCTAATCCCAGTGCAAGGCGATGCTCTTTCTACACTATTTTGCAAAAAGTTATGCCAGAGGTGTTTGTCCTGCAAGAAATTGAAAGCCCTGCTTGGTATTGGACCGATTATTATCCTTACACTGGTCCTGATGTTATGGCTGGATTGGATTTCAATACTATGTGAAATGTGTCGAATCTTTTTGGTATTGAAATTTGTTTTTTTTATTAGACATTTGAGGCATGTTAATATGGCTGGAAAATAAAAGTTTTGGATTTGAGGGTTTTTATTTTAGAATGTAGTAGGTTGGTGGAATTTTAATTTATATTTAAAATGAGACCTTGTAAAAAATGGGTAAGAATTATTAAGTGGTTTGAATTCTTCGAGGGTGCTTGAAAGTACAAATAATGGAAAGTATTATATTATGAAATTAGTAAATTAGTTTTTTTACTCATTGGCCGTCTTCAAAAAAAGAGGAGGTTCTCAATTAATCGGAATATTTTTTTTATGTATGTTCCAGCGATAATTTACTACGTTGTCCGATTTCTATAATTCTTTTTTTTTTGTTAGGGTATACCTTAGGGGGTGTACTTCCGTATATAATTGGTAAGGATCTGGTGATCTATGAGAAAACCAAAAATCTCAATTTTTAAGGCCATCTGCACGATTTTAATGTCTGTTGTTATTTTCTTTTGTACTTTCCGATCTTTTTACTTTTGACTAATTATTGCACTTTCGACCAACTAATTTTACATTTTTTAATTTCGACAAAATAAATTTTCGATCATCTGGAATTTCGATGTTTTTGTATTTGCAACTTTATAATTTCGATCAATTCGATTCAATCATATACCCTTTCTACCTTTTGAATGAATTTTTTTCTTTTTTTATTTCATATTCTCAAAGGTTTTGGCCCCAATTGAACGGTCTTCTTCAGCGGTTTTGTTTTGACTTTAAATTAATTTTTTTATCCTTTTTTATTTATTGTTACATTATTATTTTTTGTACTTTTATGTTTTGAATTTTAATAAAATTTATTTGTTTGTTTTAGTTTACATGTCTTATGTGTGTTTTCAATAGTCATAGCTATTGTTTTTCTGTTATTTTTTTGGGTCAAGCTTAGGATTTGAGGGTTGACTAAAAATAAGCATCACAAATCCTAAACTTGATCCAAAAAACAAAACAAAAATGGTAAAAAAATTTGGAATTTTAATTACCAAATCTTATTTATTAAGTTGAAAAAAGAACATTTTGTAAATACAAATTTCACCTCCAAGAAAAAACATACTTGTAGATGACATATATAGTCGAAAACCACATAGCTTGGTTAATGTTAATACAAAAAAAAAACAAAAAAAAAAACAAAAAAACAAAAAAGTTTTGTAACTGTTTTTTGTTTACCTATAACTTTTCCCGTGGTACAGTTCAGGTTCATATTCAGCACCCCCAAAAAGGTTATATAAGCCATCGAACAATTTTATTCTTCATATTTTTTTTCAAGGTCTGAGTACTGTGTATCTGGTCTGTAGACCGGAGAGGCTAGCCGACAGATTAGTGTCCATCTATATAATCTCAATAGTAAAGCAGTAATATAACCGGTCACGTCGTGGATGGGTGACCACTGTCAGGTTCCACCACTTAGCCGATTAGCGTTTGACCATAGACGACGTGGAATGAATGACGTTGAATAAGGGAGTGAATTGGTGAATGGGAAAGTAGTAGGACCTTTAAATGGTGGTATAATCAGCCGCAGCCTGCCGTACCGCCAAGCTACTAAAATTAAAAGTAAAATAGGTCATAACAAATTAGAATGTTTAGAATACAAAAATAAAAAATATGTGTACAAATGATTTACTGATTGGCAAATAAACCTAATTTTTAATATTTAGTCTTTTATAGCAGTAGAACGACTAGAGTGTTTAACTCGATTCAATGCTCATTATGTTTTGCCAGTAGATATTTTAAGACTTCATACTGCTTCAAAATGTCCGCTTGTCATTTATTTCTCTATAGAGATTCTCAGGCTTGGCTTGGTTTGGTTTTTAAAAGCACAGCTTGATTAAAGCATAAAATTTTATCAAGTCAGGCCTCAACTGTAAGGATGGCTCTAATTTTAAATAAAACGGGAGGATTTCTTCTTAACTATTTTATTTCTGAACTCACAACACATGACGCACATAACCAGGGCGAACGAATATAAATCAAATCAACAACTGAATGACGAATGACATAAAAAGATGACACTGTCAAAAATGTCTAAGCATTCACTGTTACCAACTAATTCAGCGTTTCCAACTAAGGTGGCCTCTGACAGGTAGCCTAACAGCTACCTATCTTACACAACATATCAAGAAAGATTAATAAAGTTTGTATATGCTTGATAGCCTATATCCACAAATATAAAGCAAAGTCAAGCGCTTTTTGTTTAAAATAGCTTGGAGTGGAGTTCTTTTGTTCATCAAGCAGGCCCTTCTAGTTTTAAAATGACTATAATTTATGATTAAGTTTAAATCAACCATTTATATTCACATCCAGATAAAGAACCTTGTTTTTAGGTCTATTATTTCATAAAATATATTTATTTTTTAGTAAATACGTGCTTACTTATTTTACTTTCTAAACAATAGGTAGTTACAGATTTTCAAATCAATATTTATTTTCATTGTATTAGATAAAAATCAGAAAGATGCGATCAATAATAATTCATCTGTTATTGAATATTAATTAAAAAAAAAAAAATACTAATAACCTTAACATTAATTAAAATAATGTATAAATAAAAACAAATAATTATTCACATCCAAATAATAAATAATAAGAGGTTATTAATGTTGCTATCTAAAAAAAAACTCACCGCCAATAATTACATTTCTGCAAGTCGACCACTAAAAGCCTATTCTGCTAATTTACACTACCATAAACATTGGCCTTGTTCATCCATTAAACGTGCATTATCTGTGTTTTCGTGATTATTTTCGTTTTCATTGTTTGGGCAGATGAAGGTCTTCGTTACCTTTTTCTCTATTAATTAAGTAATTGCACTATTTACGATATTACAGCAATGTTGTTTTGTTTCTACCATTGATTTATGCAGAAATAAAACTAATTCAGTTTCTCTTATAAATTTTTTACAGATAGTACAGGTTTAGACTAAGTATAAAAAAAATGTTGAATTATGTATTATTTTAACTAGTTTTCAAGGCAAGAGGTATATCTGGATTTCTTATATCAAATATGAAAACTTCACTTTTAAATCATTTTTACATTCATTAAAAAAATTGACTAAAAAAATCCTACAATAATAGTTTGTGCAACAAGAGTGGATATGATGACCATATCGCACGAAAACCAAGTTTGAGCACGACGCCGTAGGCGAAGCGCGATACGGACAATCCACTCGAGTTGTACAGTATATTTTTTCTACGGTCCACTAACGAAAATCTAAACATTTTAAAAATTATTTTAGTGAAAAAACTATTTATACTTATAAGAATAGATCGGTTTACGGCCTTACAGACAAGCCGTCACTGATGTACCCCCTTCACATAAGTTTTGCTCTGCTCTTAAATTCTTCTGCGACTTGATACACTTCTATTTGAAAACTTTTGAGATTAAACTCTTAACACCAAAGTTAAAATCATATTAACACTAATTTTAGAAAACGTATAATTATTTGCTATTATTAAATTCAACTTTTAACTAAGAGTATGGCCTGATATTAACCGACTACTAACCGTAACTAACCAGAATTTTTTGACAGCGGTTCCTGAAAAAACTAATTTGTTGTTTACATTTGAACCGACTGAAATTTGCGTTACCATTGTGACAGATTGACATTCGACTTAAGGGTAACCGTAAAAATATGCCGGTTAGAAAATTGACGTTTTAGTCACGATTTTCAGATAACCGCGTCCCTAATTTAACCGGTTTTTCAGGAATATCAGAGTGGTTAGTTTTGGACCGAGTAACCGATATTTGTGCACAAATTGTCAAAAAAGAGCTGTCAAATAATCATAGACTACTAAGATGCAAAGCATAGGTTTTGTCTTAGGGGACCGTAGTAATTATTAATTACTGGTCTATATCTTTGAACTTTCTTCAGGAAAATCATCAGAACATTTTATTTTATTACGTATTTTCCAAAAATGGTAACTCACCTTTTGAAAACCCTTAGTAATTTCAAAGAATCAAGATAAAATACATAAATAGGGTATCATAGTACCTTAAAGAACTCTACATAAAATTTGAATGTTATGTGTTATTCGGTTCGAAAAGTATTCTTGAAAAACTAGTTGTCTTTAAGTAATTTCTAGGTGTTGCTGCACCCTTAATAAGCGGTTTTGCACATAAGTAAACTAGAAAAAGTATGTTTACTTTTAGGTGTTCTATTACCCCTAGAAGTATTGCTCGACATGTTTGGTCAACCTTGTATATTTATAGTGTCTAAACCTCAGAAAACCAATAAATTAACGACTTAAATATTCTTTGATACCTTATTCATTCCAAGTGAATCTAGAATGTTTCTTAACCTTTTTTACTTTCTCATTATTCCAATTTGGAATTTAATAGATATATTGCATAGGAAGGGACTAACGAAGATCAGGATCGGTTTCAAGTATATTTTAATTATTTTATTTTATCATTTTATTCATATTATTAGACATCGATTCCTACTAATAATTTATAAATAGCACAGAATACTAAACCCATATGCTCGACGATTTTTTTTACTATTTTCCAATACTACTGCATGTGTTACGTGGGTCGCCTTCAATTTATAAAAATGTCAGTTACTCTTCATTTTCAAGGTGAGTTATAGTAGGTGTGTGTTGAACATTACAGTGTAATGTAATGTTTGTTTTTTACAGATGTTGATTAGACTAGTCTACACTTTTTTATGGCCAAATTTTAATAGTTAATTTTTTCGAGTACTGGCTTCTTAAAATAATCTATCTACAAAAGGTGGAAAGATCATATCAGATTGGCAATCCATCATTTTGGATGGTTACGAAATTCATTGTTAAAAAAATAGGTCAAATATATCTTTATATGGTATATTTTGCGTTTAAAAAAAGTGAAAATAATTTTCAAGTAAGGTACTTACTTTAAGATACTTATACGTTTTATTACCAAATAAAGTATATTTTTATATTCTAAATATTTAAAAATGGATGATCTTCCTTTTTGTTTTTTTTTTCTTATTAAAATCACCAAAATAGTATTTGAAAGATCTAATTATAATTTCTTGTAGAGAGTGACTCACTAGAAGTTTTTTTTGATTAAATTCGGGAATAAATAGAACTGAGATACTGTATATCTATCATTGTATCCCACAAAATTAAAGATTCTTAAATGAAGTATTTACTTGGGTTTAGAGCAGAGAATGCAAGGGTTCCGTAGTACCCCACTTTTACAGTTTATTTTTGACTTTTTCTAAAAGAAAAAAATATATACGTGTAGGTAAAGGTTAAATCTGTGTTTCTGTGTAGACACTTTTTCAAAATTTGATTCTGTATTTAAAAAAAAAAAAATATACAAAACTATCTGGATGCTTTTCAATTCTCACGAGAATCAATAATTATTGTAAAATACCTATTATTTTGTGCTATTGTGGAATATTTTTCGATTCCTTTGTCTCAGTCTCAACTTCGCGTGTTATTGAGGCCCTACACGCTACGATTTTTGTGAGATTGTAACAATACAGTCCATTGATTCAGTCGATAACTCAACAAGAAGTGCTCGATCTGACTCACATCTGGCATCTCCTCTTTTGTTCCCCTTTGTCTAATGTGAAGATTAACAGTGGAATGAGCTGATTAGAACTGTGCGTTTTGGCCTGCAACCCATATCGGAGCGTATAGGGCATCCATTAGAGTTAAGAATATGTATCATTCGTATCTACATGCAATTCTTAAAATCATGAATGATTGCTGATTTTTT